GGGAGGCAGAGGTTGCAAGTGAGCCGAGATGGCGCCAATGTACTGGGGGGACAATGTCCAGCCTAGGGTACAGAGCAAGACTCCCTCTTAAAAAAAAAAAAAAAGTCTGTTTTTTCCCTCTCTTCAGCTACCAAGTTTTTGTTTTGCCACAAGCAAAAATTGTTTGTTCACTTTGAAATTAAACTCAATTTGTGTTCACTTTGCTTGTTCACTTTGAAATTAAAACCTAATTTTAAAACAGGTGGGCACTAATTGCTAAATCTTATTATACTTAAGAGTTAATATACACTAAAAAAGTATACACTAAAGAAGAAAAATACTCTTAATGAGCGTACAAGAGGTGGTGAACACTTGTAAGGGAATGTGTAAGGTATAAGGCAAGCTTAAAGGAAGCAGCATTGGCAAAATAAAGTAGCAAGAAAACTTAGAGGACAGCTTCAATAAATTCAGCCCCAGCTAAATGATGGTAAATAAGAAAGGAGGAGAGCCTAGGGGGAAACGGTCCTTGGGTTCTGGGGCAGCATCTGGAACAGACATTCCCGCCTACCCATGATCCTTGTCTCAGAGCCCCAGTGGTCTCCTACACTCAAATGTCTCAAGATATATCCTGATTAGTCTAAATCAATCAGAAATTCCCATACCCTTACCAGTAGGAGGTAAACCTAACCCTTTTGATATATTTGTCTACTTTTATCCTCTTTCTTTCATGTCAACTTACATTTCTCTTATGATGCTATGACCCAGTTCTGAAAAAGGAAATGTGATAGGAAGCTTCTGGGAAAAATTTCCTTCCTCCTAAAAAGCGATACTGAATATTGCAATCATCTAGACATGATGCTCAGAACTGCCACAGCTAACTTTGAACTTGAGGCAGCTAGCTTAAGAACACTGATAGTCTGAGGACAGCAGGGTAGACACATGCTAAATAAACCACCCTGGAGAAGCCTCAAAACTTCTTGTTGCATAAGATAATTCATTTCATTACTGTCTACACCACTTGCATTAGGGTTTTCTGTTACTTTAAGCCAAAAACATTCCAACATGTTACCAGTAACACATTACTGAAGCTAAATGGAAGATCCAACCCATTGTCTTTTGGGACATAGAGGAAAAAAGGGATAACACTAAAGAATGAACACAGCTGCTAGAATTTTAAAAACAGTGAGATGGCAGATGTGGCAGAGCCCGTAGTATTATTCCAGTGAAAACCAGTCTACATGCCTTTAGAGGCTCTCAGGATTCTGGGTACTTCTTGGTCTCTAATTAGAGTACAAACATAGTTAACAAGGATTCTAATATTTTAAAGAAGCAGTTTTATTTTATTTTACCTTAAAGTATTATAATCCTATTTAGTACTTTGTCAAGTGGCACCACACTTGCCTTACTTTCTTTGTTTAATCTAGACCAACTCTGCAAAATAGAGGATTAACCAAAGTCTGGTAGATAGAAAATACATAATTGGTTTGAAAGAGAACAAATTACAAAATTTAACCAGAATAACATGTAACATTAATTGCAACTATTAGCACCAGGTTATTCTAATTCAAACCTCTGAGACATGTGGTAATAATCAATTTTCTGTAAAAAGCATAGCAAATCAATTTTTCCTACTTGGAGGAGATAATTAGACAAACTAGCAGAAGTTTCTAAAATGAATTGAAGATTTTCCCTGTAAACAAATTCCATACCTGAGGCTACAAAGTACGAAGAATCCCTCTTAAGGCTCTATTTTAAAACACATTACTAAAACAATGTGAAATATGGACTTTTAGATCAGTGGTTTTGTACATAAGAATCAACTTTAGAGCTTTAACTGGCTTCCACTCCAAACCAAATCTATCTGAGTCTCTGGGTGTGAACATCTGAATTTTTGTTTTAAACCTCATAACCTTAAACTAGATGCATACAGCGATAGGTTAAGAACCACTCGTTGATACTTCAATGTAGAGTTATTCACAAAAGCTTTTAGGTATTTTAATCAATAAAATGATGTGATGTTTAGAGGAAGCCACAAAACAAGGCTGGATGGTTTTGGGTACTTCTAGCACTTTTTAATGATTAATTCCCACAGGTTAGCCTTGCATAGAATGTCATGCTTAATGAAAATACATACAATTATAGTGAGGTTTTGCCCCTTGTTTAAATATTGTTGCTGACATACTCAATGTAACTTACCCATTGTAGTATAAGACAGCTTTTAGACACAAGAGTAAGCATAAAATCAAAATCAGTCACAAAATCAGGAAAAGGTAGGTCAGAAGGAGTCAGAACTAAGAACTGAATCACAATGGTTAGTATGGATCATAAAGAAAAGGTTGCCACAACTCAAGATGTTGAGGAAAACACTGGAAGATACAGGCAAGGTTCAGGACAAGGCAAGGTATGACTGGCATTCAGTGGTCCAAGCATGGCACAGGGCACAAATGTGATCACTTTATAGCCTGGGATAAAAGTTTACATGCCAAATTGGTGATAAAGAAAAAGACCAAAAATGGAGGCCTGGATAAGGAGGCAAGTAAAAGCATATTAGGATCCAGAAAAGTCTCATGGATCCACTCAATACATAAAACCACCTTTTGAGCCAAAGGGCTACAGCCTGGAAGGCAGGAGAGGAAGTGCTAATTCATCTGGACTCCACTAGAGGCAGCAGGGTTTGCACATGCAGCAACTGCAGCAGAACATTACTTCCTAGTGAGCCTTGACCAGTCCTAAAAACAAGTGTCATGTGAAATAACGAAGTCTTACAGTTAAAAAGGACCGGAAGGCTGCGTGCAGTGGCTTATGCCTGTAATCCCAGCACTTTGGGAGGCCAAGGCAGTAGTGCCTTGGCCTGAGGTCAGGAGTTCTGGTCAACATGGCGAAACCTCGTCTCTACTAAAAATACAAAAATTAGACAGGTGTAGTGGTGGGCGCCTGTAGTCCCAGCTACTCAGGAGGCTGAGGGGGGAGAATCGCTTGAACCTGGGAGGCAGAGGTTGCAGTGGGCCGAGACTGCACCATTGCGCTCCAGCCTGGGTGACAGAGCAAGGCTCCACTTCAAAAAATTAAATTTAAAAAAAAAAAAAAAAAAAGGACCTGAAGAGCAATTCAGTCCAACCATCCATTCAATGCTCTCATCAATGCCTTTCCAAAATACAGAAAAATATTGGCATCTTTTACAAAGATTAAGGAAATGGAAGGACTAAATTAATTTCCAATAATGATCTATACTAGTCAAAGGTATCATGAATGAAATTTAACCTTTACATTCATTTGCATTCAGAAACAACTTGAGTAGTTTACACTACATCATTTCTTTCACAGAAAGAGCTTTAAAATTAACCACTTTAAAACATTTAGGGCCAGGTGCAGCAGCTCACACCTGCAATCCCAACACCGTGGGAGGCCAAGGTGGGAGGATCACTTGAACCCAGTAGTTTGAGACAACCTGGGCAACATGGTGAGACCCCATCTCTAAAAAATAAAAATAAAAGTAAATTAGCACGCCATTCTGTCACTAGATATACATTTTTCCCAAACAAAGGATATTTTTAAAAAGTTTATCCCTTAAAACATTATTTGTGACCTACTGTCACAAATCTCAAGTTGCTTTTTTAGCTGTGACGAATTTACACTTTGAACTAAACAATCGGTTTAAGCTAATGTGGCCTCACTCCTGCCTCACCTCCACCCACCCCACTCTATGGCCAATAGGATACAATGGAACTAAATTTTTCTCTTAAGCAGATTGACTCTTTCAAACAGCCAACGAACTCATGAAGAGGTAAACCATTAACGCTTTTCTTTGACAGATGGCGTACAAATCCTTACTCCTACATGGTAATTTACAAATCAGTTATACTTCATAGCATGTTTATCATGATCATAAGAAGTCATTCACTTCTGCTGGGGCTAGGAATCTTACCTGAGTAGGCCAGGACATAGTTACCTAACATTTTGATGAAATATTTTATATGAGTAAATCTGATTCTGGGAAGTATTATAGACTCTGATCATCCCTAACTTGTTGTAAGCTTCAATGAAGGCAATCCCTAAATCTGTTCAAACAACCTAGTAAAGAGTTAACCATTCAAAGCAGTTCAGTTTCTAATCTCATTTAATCATTGAGTTAACAACTGAAATTGTTCAATTTATTACATTTTTCTGTTTATAAAAATAATGCAAAGTTATAAAAACAAAAATATTTAGAATTATAGAGGAAACTAAAAACTGCACAAGTCATTTCCTGTCAGGAGCCCAAACAAACAAACAAACAAACAAAACTATACAACTCTACCAACTCAGAGTATCAAAATAATCTGTTAACAGTTTTGTACTTCTGTTTAATTCTCTGCAGGTTTTAATACACTCAAATAATACTCTGCTTTTAAAAATTAGTATTATGGCTATCAAAATGCTATAAGAAGATTCATTTAACTATTTCTCTACTTTTGGACATATAGGTTGCTTTCATTTTTTTATTTTAAAAATACGACATGAATATATTTGTGCATAAATCTTTTCCAGAATTTAGGATATATTCAAATACATATTCTTACCAGATTCTCCAGCACTAAAATGATCAAATGGATTCCCTTCGGCATCTGGGTTTAGTAACACCATTTCAAATGGGATATCTTCCACCTGAGAATTCTCCTTGTCATCTTGGCACGTATACTTGTCTGCATAAAACACATGCCACGTTTGTGGAGATGGAATCTGGGACACTGTCAGATTATGTTCGGTCTGGTTCATGGTCACTTTAAAGAGAAAGAAAACAACACCTTTCGTAACAAAACTCTCACACGTGTTCCATTATTTTATCATATAATCAATTTGAGGTTAGGACACTCTTTTGTTTAATTTTTATTGCCTCAGAAATCCAAGACCTTGTGAAGTATTTGGAATAAGTCTTGTAACCAGATATTTACAGAATAAATCAGAATTTATCTGCAAAGGAGATAAAAATGATGTTTTTAACCAAGGAATCACTATACAAGTATGACTATAAAACACCACGAGTAGAATGGCTTCACTGAAACTCTGAATTTTTTTTTTTTTTTTTCTGGTTCTCACATTCGTATTGGGAGCCATGGGAGGGGCCTCCTCTGTCAGTGGAGGTGCTCAGTTTCTTCAGCCACTCCAAGCTGGGGCTCTGGGAATCCTGGGGGTGGCTGGGCACATCGGGCATGTTCCCATCATTGCGGATGGGCATTGGGTAGTTGTAGGGTGTGACCTCGTTGATCATGATGAAGTACTTGGTGTAGGGGCTGAGTGGGGGCAGAATTACAGCTAGGCTCCTGATGATGAAGGACACGACCAGCACCGGCTCCTTGGCCCAGGCATTCTTGAGGAAGGCGCTGAGTCTCGTCACCATCTTGGTCTCGACGGCTGAAACTCTGAATTTTAATTCTCAGTATTTGTCACAGTTTCCAGGTGGGTTAATGACATTCAAAAAAATTGTGGTGGTAAAATATACACAATGCTAAATGTATCATTTTAACCATTTTTAAGTGTACAGTCTAAGGCATTAAGCACATCCACAACACTGTGCAACAATCAGTGACATTTTTGAAGATTACTCGAGTTAAATTTAAATTGGAGCATTCAACTTACGAAATCATTGTATCTAAAAACTACGTATTTTCAAAAGATTTTCCAAAACCTTTTTCTGATTGGTTGTTCTTTAAAAGGGTACAAAAAGCAGAAAAAATAGAAATTACAGGAATGTAGAACTTATTATACTGGATCAGGTCCATATGAAGTAGTATGATACAGTCAGGGGTGGGGGTGTGTGGCATCATTCAGATGTATGTTTCAATCCTGGCTTCAATACTTACCTGTTGTGTGACCTTGGGTAAGTTACATAAGCAATGACACTCATTTTCTTCATCTGTAAAATGAAGATACTACCTACAGCAAAGAGCTGATGTAAGCACTAAGTTATGTGAGTCACCTAGCATGGTATCTGTCACAGAGCAGTTGATAAATGTCAATTCTGCTTTTCCTTTCTTTAAAACAAGGTGGTTATATTAGTAAGTGGTTCTCAATCCAGGGTAATCTCCTTTCATCCAGGGCCTCTGAAAATATGAGGGGATCGTTTTTTGTCACAATAGCTGGTTAGATACTTGGAGGGGGGCTATGTTGAACCTCATGCAAAGAATTATTCCCCCTAAAATGCCAACGGCACTCCCTTCTGAGAAACACAAAATGATGTATAAGATTCTTTCTGGATCTAAAACTATTAGGTTGGTGCCAAAGTAATTGCAGTTTCTGAATATGACCTGACCTAAGAGGCACTGACTAACACTAACATGAAGCTGCCTATGAGAGAAGTGTCTCAAGTTCTGAGTGTAACGAAAAGAGTAGAGTCAGAAGAGTGAGTCTTGGCCTTGTGACTCAGCAAATAAATTTACAACCTCTCTAAATTTGTTTCTTCAATAGTAAAATAAAGATACCTTCCCTGTTAGCTCAGAGTTCTTGTGAGGGGCAAAGGAAAAGCATATGGAAGGTTATGTAAAGAGAATGATTCTACACAAAGTATTTTTAAAACAGTATTATGATAGGCCCAATTCCCAACTCTAGTTTGCCCCCATAACATGTCAATATTTAAGGACAAATTAGTCTTAATCTCTTTCTCAATTGTAGGTTTTTTTTTTTAATAAATAAAAGACATTTCTCGAGGTAACCAGAAATTTGTGTATGGAATAGATTTCGGAGGACATTATAAAATTATTAATTTTCTTAGGTGTAGGACAGTTAAACAGATGAATTTCTTTACTCTTAGAAGCTGTATGCTTAGGTATGGAGGGGCAAACTGTGATACCTGCTGCTTATTTTCACAAGGTTCAATTAAAACAAAAATCACATACATATAGACATAAAGCAAATTTAATAAAATATTAACAATTATTGAGTCTAAGCAGAGGATATACAGATGCTGGTTGTATTATAATTTCATCTTTTCTGTATGTTGGGAAATTTTCCTAGTGGAAAGTTGGAAAAATGTTATTTATAGGTGGTCTTTATGAATGAGATACAGATGTAGTCAGGATTTGAATTTGGAGGACTTGGACTGTACAACTGGGAATTTCATTCATTGGTAGTTAAATTGAACAAGAGGATTTGATTAACACCACTATGACATTGCTTTTTTGGCTACTGTAAGTTAGCTGACATTTAAACTACCTTTTTAAAAAACAAACAAACAAAAACCGTACAGCTTCCGGAAAAATGTAGCAAAGACTCTAGTCTCTGTTAAATATTGGAAGACTTTTAGTAAGAATTTAATAAATGCTCAATAAATGATTCAGAAATAAGACTGTTTAAATGTGCAATGTGCAATTATATAATCCGGACCTCATTATATAAAGGCTCTGCTGTGTTGCTGTTTTTATCATTTGCACTTTTTCTCTTAGATAAAATATTTAAAAACCACACTTTTACCAATATACTTTTGATGTTTCATTTTAAATTATGTGGATTTACTTCAAGCAGAAATAAAAGTGTGCTTCATAAAGTGATACTGGCCTTTAGTTTTTGTCTTGCTGTCTTTTCAGCAAGCCTGGGAAACAAGCCTCTTGACAAAACCGTGTGTTCATTGTTTCCAAGACAAAAGACTACAGCACAGCATGCATATTCTATGCTGGTGTAATTAGTACCTCAAATATTAACAAAACTTGAACTGCTGAGAATGGTGCTGAATAGCTAATTGTCCAATCATATTATAAAAGGAAATGAATACTGTTAACCAAAACACACAATAAAATACTAACACCTTTAAATGATTTACAAAACATATCAAACTACAAAAGGAATCATATGCATAACATGTAAAAAGACAACACTGAAATGTTTTGTATACAATATTATATTTAGCTCCTATAACCTGATAGAAGATTCCTCCGAATCTTCTTGTTTAGATAGAAATACATAAACTCATCATTTTCAGTGCTTTTAAATGTCTTGTTTGCTTGCTTTAAAAATCTACAAAATAGTTTTTAGTATTTTTTAAATCAGATTTTTATGACAGAACAAAGAGATGATTGAAAAATAATTTCTCAAACATTAATTTGGGAGAGTCAAGCAACATTCAACGTTGAGATTTTTCAAATCTGCTAGTCCTTTCATAGCACACAGTAGTGGCAGGGTTTTACGTAGGAGCTGGGCAGAGTTACTGAGTTCATTACCAAATAGGTGAAAGGCTGTTAACTCTTAAGTCTCATTAATAGCTAAGAAAAGCACTTGCTATAAGGAACTATTCTTAAATATGTGTTACTATTACATCATGAATTTAAAGATATGCTTTTTGTTTAAATGTATCTAAGCTCCTAAATAACGTACCATAAATATGACAACTAATCTATAGAAGAGACTTAAGATTTGGATTTTGTTATTGGAAAAAAAACTGGTGAAGTATATATACGTAGAAATCAGTATTAAATTTATTTTAGGCCCGGCGCGGTGGCTCAAGCCTGTAATCCCAGCACTTTGGGAGGCCGAGACGGGCGGATCACGAGGTCAGGAGATCGAGACCATCGTGGCTAACACGGTGAAACCCCGTCTCTACTAAAAAACACAAAAAGACTAGCCGGGCAAGGTGGCGGGTGCCTGTAGTCCCAGCTACTCGGGAGGCTGAGGCAGGAGAATGGCGTAAACCTGGGAGGCGGAGCTTGCAGTGAGCTGAGATCCGGCCACTGCACTCCAGCCTGGGCAGCAGAGCCAGACTCCGTCTCAAAAAAAAAAAAAAAAAAATTTATTTTAGGCCCCAAAATTTGACAAAACAACCTTCACTCCTCTAAAATTCCTGTTTCCTGATATCTTTCATTCCACAATTCCAAAGAATACTTCTGCACTCAACAGAACAGGGAAAAGAAAGAGAAAATAGAAAAAGAAACAACAGCAGAAGGTTTTGTTAAGTTGTAGTCCTATACATAAGTAACTCCATCCTTAACAGTTATAATGAGAATGGCAGCATTTTGGAACTATTATGAACCTTAGGGAAACCTAGTCAACTTGCTTGTTGTACAGATAAGTAAAACAGGGTTCAAAGATAACGAGTTCTTGCTATAAATCACTAGCAGTGATTCTCAGTTTTGTGGTCTTCCCATTGCACCACACTGTCTCCCGGCATATAGAAGTTCTGGGAATACAGGAATATGACTCATACAGAAATGATGTTTTTAAGTGTATAAAGTATATAGTATAATACTATGTGATACAAGAGAACAAATCAATATTTCTATAGCTGAAAGCTTTAAACTGCCTAATAAGTTTTTGTTGGACACAGAAAAAGTCTTTGAGATGTCAAACGCAAAAAGCAAACAACCTACCTAACAAAAAGCCCTTAAACACTAAGGTCTACGACTATTCGTTCTACAATACTTAGTAAAAACTTAACTAAGCACCAGGGTACGATAAATTCTCATTCTCATAGTGCCATATAATTGGCATTCATAGGGCTTATCAAAATAGCAATTTTACATTTATTCACACTGATCTGATTCATTCTGGTAACCTCCAACAGCCTTAAGGACATTTTGGTCACTAATCTATCACCAGTACCTAGCATAGTACATGAAACAGTGGAAGCACTCAGTGAATGAACACACCAAAAGAGCCCTACTGCTCTCATTGACTGATTTTATAACAAATAAATACAATGGAAAGTGGTAACTATAGTAAGTGCTATGTAGGAAAGCAAGAGGCTATAAAAACTTAGGTGTTAACTTAATCGAGGGAGGAGCCAGCAGGGAGGCTGAAGAGGAAAAAGCTTATGCGAAGGCTCAGGGTAGCACTGAAATAAAATGCAGTGAGTGGGGCAATGCCCTGAGATAAAATGGAGAGGTAAGCAGCAGCCAGTCTACAATGGCTTTGCTGGTCAGGTTAAGGAGGCCTGGACAGGTTAAGGGAAACAGCTTTGCTGGTCAGGTTAAGGGAAACCATTTATTTTAAGGGTGTGGTGAGGAAGTGATTGTAACATAACCATATCTGCTATTTAGAAACATCTAGTTACAGAAGGGGGACCAGCATGGCTATAGAATAGCCAGGTAGGAGACTGCTGAAATAGCAAAGGCAAGATGATTTCAAGAGATATTTAAAAGTAAAACCTCAAGACTTAACTGATGGATGGGGAGGTAGAAAGGTCAAAGAGGAGAGTATTAGAAGACACCTTGGTTTCTCAACTGTTTACTAGATGGTAGGTGGTGCCAGTTCTTAAAACAGGGAACACCAGAAGAGGACTAGGTCTGGATGGGGAAGATGGTGAATTCAGTTTAGACACCAGAGGAATTGGGAACTGAAGGACATGACCTTTCATACATACGTGGAACACTTAGATGAGCAAATTGGCAGAGAAAGGAAGAGATAACTAATCATGAGAATCTGCATATATTTCCCAGATAAGTTTTGAATTCAGGGTCAAAGTAAATAATTGTATGTAATTGTCTCTTTTATAGTTGAATCCAATCATTCATCTTCAGGATACTATCTTCTCACAATGTCAGCTCACAAATCTACATTAAAGATCCCCACAATGGGTGGCAAGGATTGGGGACTTCTGCGTTTTTCACTGTTCTAACTAGTTGCCTTATGAGGGAATCAGACAGCTGATAAGATAAAGACTGGATGTTTAGAAATGAATGTTTCGCTAGACTAGGCTAAGAGGAGACTACCATGTTCCATATATGGATGAGTCCCTGAATAATAATGGGAAGGAGGGAAGAATAATTCCCAAATTTGAAGCATTTGGATACTTCAAATTTCTAACGTCTCCTACACCTAATTAACTTGCAAGGTGCAAAATGGAAACAATGGCACACATTCTTCATTTCCATATTAAAAAAAACTTTCACTCACTCTGGATGGCTAGCACTCTAATGCACAGGACAATGTTGATGAGAATGAATGGGATCACAGATTTAAGCTACTAGATTAGGATTTTAAAAGTACAGCCTCTCTAGAGGCAAACCCAGAAGTATACAAATGATGTGGTGCTGGTACATCTCAAAGAGACTTTTTTTTTTTTTTTTGAGACAAAGTCTCACTCTGTCACCCAGGCTGGAGTGCAGTGGTGTGATCTTGGCTCACTGCAACCTCTGCCTCCCAGTTTCAAGCAATTCTCATGCCTCAGCCTGCCAAGTAGCTGGGATTACAGTTGTGTGCCATCACACCTGTCTAATTTTTTTTTTGTATTTTCAGTAGAGACGGGGTTTCATCATGTTGGCCAGGCTGGTCTCAAGCTCCCAACCTCAGGTGATCCGCCCACCTTGGCCTTCCCAAGTGCTGAGATTACAGGCGTGAGCCACTGTGCCTAGCTGTCAAAGTGACATATTTTATCACCATGTAACTAAGTCTCATGTTCAAACGACATGTTGGGAAATAGCATCACTTGAGCTAAATTATCCAATTAACTAAAATAATACATGTTTGGCATTTAGCTCAGTGCTGGCAGATAATTAGCATTCAACAAATGTTACCATTCATTCCACACTGCCACTGGGTCAAAATATATTTTCCATATTGGCATAAATTATGCAAACTGTAAAGAGTCTGAATGAAAGAAAGGACTCCTATATAAATTATCTGGATTTTCATTTTTCAAAAATGATAAAGAAGGGAAAGGCATTGTTAAAACTCAACTTAAAATGTACTAGACAAAGTGTCATCACCGTGGGATGTAACATATGTACATATGGTACTATATTTCAACATTAGGAGGAAAAAAACTATATCTAATGATCAAAGAAAAAAGGATATACTCACTTGTCAACTGAGCTTTGGATAATTTTTCACTACAGCTATAACCATGACTGCTTTGCTGTAGCTTTAGCCATTCCTGGGCTTGGAACAGGTAGAGTTTAGCTTCTTTTCCAACAGCTACTGCTATGTTGTTGATTCTGACACACAGAAGAGCATGGTCACCTTGACATTAAAACAAAAATTATCAACTAGTTTGGTCTTACATGAAACTGAGACATGAGGACAACTCAACACCTCTACTTACCAAAATGGAAATTTAAAAAGCACAATTCTTCTTAAATCTCGCTTAACTAGGTAAATCACATCAGAATGAACACCACATTTAGAAGCAAGAGATTATTCAAATGAACGTGTGGTATTTCCTTGAAATTCAGTTGATAACTGATAATATTTCACTCAATAAACAGCAAATATCTAGGGTATTTGGACAATTCACTGTATTACAATTTTTGCCTCACTTTACAACCACTTGTTTTACATTTTATTCATAATCTATAGAAATGTCCCACCAGGACTGTAAACTAGTTCAACCACTGTAGAAGACAGTGTGGCAATTCCTCAAGGATCTAGAACTAGAAATATCATTTGACCCAGCCATCCCATTACTGAGTATATACCCAAAGGATTATAAATCATGCTGCTACAAAGACACAAGCACACGCATGTTTATTGCAGCACTGTTCACAATAGCAACAACTTGGAACCAACCCATATGTCCATCAATGATAGACTGGATTAAGAAAATATGGCACATACACACCATGGAATACTATGCAGCCATAAAAAAAGGATGAGTTCATGTCCTTTGTAGGGACATAGATGAAGCTGGAAACCATCATTCTGAGCAAACTATCGCAAGGACAGAAAACTAAACACCACATGTTCTCACTCATAGGTGGGAATTGAACAAAGAGAACACTTGGACACAGGGTGGGGAACACCACACACCGCGGCCTGTCGTGGGGTGAGGGGAGAGGGGAGGCATAGCATTAGGAGATATACCCAATGTAAATGACAAGTTAATGGGTGCAGCACACCAACATGGCACATGTATACATATGTAACAAATCTGCACGTTGTACACATGTCCTCTAGAACTTAAAGTATAATAATAAAAGAAAAAAATTAAAATTAAAATTAAAAATAAAAATAAAGTCCCATCAAAGTTTCTGTTTTTCAATATGACATAGGTATTAATGTTTAATTATACTCTTAATATAAAAAATAAACATAGCTAATAGCAGGAAAGTTTAAATGTATGTGTTCTGGAGTAGACACAAAACAAAATTTGGTATCTATGACTTTTACAAAAGAACTTTCAAGGGCTGGGCACAGTGGCCACACCCATAATCCCAGCACCTTTAGGAGGCCAAGGTGGGAGGATCACCAGTCCAAGAGTTTGAGACCAGCCTGGGAAACAATGTGAGATCCTGTTGCTATTAAAAAAAAAAAAAAAAATTATCTAGGCTTGGTGGCTGAGCCTGTAGTCTCAGCTACTCGAAAGGCTGAGATGGGAGGATGGCTTTAGCCTGGGAATCTGAGGCTGCAGTAAGCTTTGATTACACCACTGTGCTCCAGTCTGGGTGACAGAACAACACTCTTTTTTGGACCAGTGTTACTCTGTCACTCAGGCTGGAGTGCAGTGGCGCAATCTCCACTCACTGCAATCTCTACCTCCCAGGTTCAAGCGATTCTGCTGTCTTAGCTTCCTAAGTAGGAGTTGCTGGGATTACAGGCATGTGCCACTACAC